CTTACGCACCTATAGGACATGATACTGTCACTAAGTATCATAATACATATGAATACAAAGTCAAAATATAAGTTTGTGTAGATTTAGACTAATTAGGATATAATGTGTTTTATGCAAAGAGTGTCAGTTAAAAGATGATTAATTGCTGACTAATGCTGTTTGTGTATGCCCATGATATACTAAAAACACTGGGTTGATCAATTATATCAGACTGCAAAAGCAAAAGATGTCCAGTGCAGGTACTCATTCCTGAGGAAGTCTGGGTTCCCTGATACTCCAGAATTGAAAGTGGAGTTAGTGGAAGATATCCCCTAAAGAAGCTGGAGAATGGTGCTGTGGTTCCTAATGACTGGTACAGTGAAGAGAGAACCCCCTTTCCCTAGTCCCTTAACCCTCACACGAGGGGAGGGCTGGGGGTCCCAGCAATGAGCAGGGGGCTGGGTGGGGGAGGTGGTGGTGGTGCGGGACTGATGGCAGCCCTCCAACTGGTGGAAATGATTAATAAAGGAATCATGACCTGCACTGTACAAGTTATTACTCAGATAGTTCCCAAATGAGTTACGTTACTAAAATTGCAACAGAATTATATCGCATCCCTCACATCTTTTCTGCCTTTCTGTGTGTTCAGGACAAACAACCCAGGTTAGCGAGATTGAGGGGGCAAAACACTGTCATCATATGGTATGGCCTAGTTTACTTACTTTCAGATTTGAAAAAAAAAATCTTTCATTTAACACTTATCTATACTTTTTATATTCAAAGATCTTAATTAATCCTCACAGCAACCTTGTGAGAGAGATAAGTAGGTATTAGTATTCACTAGAATTCAGGAGTTCCTAGCTTCTAGTACTGAGGCATGGCCTGGGGGTCTAAAGATCCTATTAGAACATTCTGTGGAGAGTTAAAAATAGTGATTCATCGTAAAAATGAATAGGATAAGAGAACTGGAAGTGGCAGGGATTGGCCTGTATTTGTTCTAACCTTGTATTTAGATTTTTTTATATTATAGGATATAGTACATTGTTTCTTTAGTGAGTGCCTTCTTCACATCTTGATTTACTCTTCAAACTGACATTTTTCTAGTTTAAAAAATGCTGAGAGAGATTAAGGGTGCAAGCATCTTCAGCATGTAATAGATTGCATGAAAAATCTAATCAAGGAATCATTTGATGGGGGCTTACTTTATGGTATCAGCACTTTCGGTGTACTGAAAACTAATATTCCATCTTATTAAGTTCAGTAAATGTGCTTTTAAAGCTATTGATTTTTGTTTTGTGCTGCAGTATGTTACTTCATCATGTTTGGATAGAAAAGCTATATACTGGATGAATGAAAGACTATACATTACTGTAAATTTTAGAGAATAGTACACAGTGAGCATCAAAATCTAGATTTATTCATTAATGAGGGCTACTAACAATGATGCTATCAGAATTCACTAGACAGAAGGTTTCACTGAAGCTGAGGGATTAATGTAATTGCTTCAAAACAGACAATGTGGCGTCAGCTACAAACTGTAAGACAAACAATCAAGGAATTAGAATCTAAAGAACAGCTTTGCTTTATCTGGCTTGTGCTGTGTGAAGCAGACTTTCTTTTCTACCTTTTTAGCTGTTGTAACGAAATGTATTATGAATTGATTACTAGAGAGACAGTTAATTGGTAGTATTTGCACAGTCTAACATAGCATTTCATTGCATGAAGTAAAATATAATAAAATAATATTGAGATTTAAAAATACATTCCTTGTCCTCAAAAATTTGTATTTTATTCATTTGTTGAAGTTACTTTGGATAGCCATCTTCAAGTCTTTCCTCTCATTTTTCCCCCAGTGCTGTTCTCCAAAGTTGGCAGTGGTGGTATGCTGCTACAATTAGAAACCCAATGCAGAGCTTTATGTTGGAAAAAGTGCCATAGGCTATATCGAGCCATTCTTTATCACATGACTGTCTCTGAAGTCCATGAAGGTTTGGCATAAAAGTCAATAGCAGGATATGGCCTACTAGTAATTGCTGGAGGCTGCAAAAGGATATAGTCCTAGGGTGTATATTTTTATCATAATGAGGGAAGAGTTGTGTGTGAAGTTGCCCATGCATCAATAGCTATCAAAAGTATTTTGTTTTTCAGATGTTTCCAGGGAGAGCTAATAAAATAACAAATAAGAAACAGTTAGGAAAAAAAGGTAGTATTGGCAAAACTACCTATTTTTACCTAAACTTATTCTTTGAAATGACTAAACCATTTTTGCTGAAACTAAAATAAACAAACAAATATATATGGAAAATTTTAGCTAGAACAGTTAGTCTGGCTAAGTTATAAACATCTGAAAATTGGGGCTTATAATTGAAAATGCTAGACAACTTTAATTATAGGTTTTGCTACCAGGCCTGCCTATAATTTTTTGGGGTTAGATTTAGGGTTGCCAAGTGTCGGGTTTTCGATTAAGGCCTGGTCTACACTGGGGGGGGGGGGGAGGAATTGATCTAAGAGACGCAACTTCAGCTACGAGAATAGCATAGCTGAAGTCGACGTATCTTAGATCGACTTACCACCCGTCCTCACGGCGCGGGATCGACGGCCGCAGCTCCCCCGTCGACTCCGCTTCCGCCTCTCGCCCTGGTGCAGTTCTGGAGTCGACGGGGAGCGCGTTCAGCGATCGATTTATCGCGTCTAGATGAGACACGATAAATCGATCCCTGATAGATGGATCGCTACCCGCCAATCCGGCGGGTAGTGTGGATGTACCCTTAAAGTCAAGTCAAAAAGGGAACCTGGCAGAGTCCAGTTAGCACTGCTGACACTGTCTGGTTACTTGCAGTAACTGGCCTCTGCCACCAGGGGTGGTGGGTAGGAAGAGCAGCAGCTGCTGCTGGAGACTTGAGGAGCACTCAGGAACGGCTCCAGTGGAGAGAGGTACTGGCGGCTCCCCTGTCCTGCCCTGAGCGCGGCTTCCCCTCCCCAACCCTGCCCCACTCACCCCACACCCACCCCAGATTGCAGCTTCCCTTCCCTCTGGAGTGTGGCTCCCCCTCCCCCATCCTGCCCCAGTTACCCACCCCACCCCTACAGCCTTGATCAGCTGGCAGGGCGAGGGAGGTGGAGAGAGCAGTGAGCGATGGTGGCGGGGGAGGAGCAGGGGGCAGAGACTTGATGGAAGGAGGCGGAGCAGGAGGCGGGAGAGGTTCCGGGCGCTCATTGTCTGGTTTTCACACAGTAGAAAGTTGGCCATCCTTGTCAGATTGTGATACGAGAAGAGAGTTCAGGTTTCAAATGAAGACCAAATTCTACTAAGAATCTGACCATATAATGGATGATATAATAGTGTAAAATCAGTATCCAGGATTGAGGTCATAACTAAATCATTATGATCTGCCTCTTTTGTGCTTAAAAAAAATTGCATGTAATTTTATATTACCATGTAGAATCAGAAAGGTACTTTATCTTTAATTACATTAAACAAGTAAAACAATTCAAGTGCATTTATATGAAGACATCAGAAGTAAACCCAGACTTGCAGAGTATACTTTTGATTGTCTATTACATATTTTACAGCATGTGCTGTACATTGTCTTAGAGCAGTTAATAGGCTGAACATGTTCTTTCCATTAGTCCTTTGCCTTCCTACATGTTTTTGCTGTCAATGTTGACACACAATTATTTATGGCCCTCTGGTACAGTATTCTATTAATACTAAACATAAATAAAGTTTTCATTTACTGCATATTGATCGGTTCAGTCCAAATATAAAACCAAGTCTATAGCCATTGATTAGTGATTTTTAAAGCACTTTGTAGCTTAGATTTTTTAAATGTAAAATTATAAAGAAAACCATAAAAAGTAATTCAGCAATAGCCATTATAAATATATTTTGAATAAATTGTTTGGAGAAGAAACAATCACATAAGAAAATATACACCGCTACCTCGATATAACACGACCCGATATAACACGAATTCGGATATTACACAGTAAAGCAGTGCTCCGGGGGGGCGGGGCTGCACACTCCAGTGGATCAAAGCAAGTTCAATATAACGCGGTTTCACCTATAAAGCTGTAAGATTTTTTGGCTCCGAGGACAGCGTTATATCGAGATAGAGGTGTATATAGAAAAAGTAACATAAATTTGATTGGGGTAATTCAGTTCAGATCACACTGGTTACTTTCCAGATGTTTGTTCTACTCTGTTTCAGCAATTATTTTGTGTCCGTTCATATATAAGAAGGTAAGAATGTAACCTCTCTCAGACAGAAAAAAGGTGTCTTTTCACACTACGTATATTTTCGGCACAACCACTATATATATATTATTATTATTTATTTTAAAAATATAAATCTGAAAACAAACATTTTATGAAACTATCTTCATCATTTACATTTTTAAGGAAGTTAATAAATGTTTATACTCTTATGTATGAGCCAGTGATTTCACTCTGTTTTTTTCTATAATAGCTGCAGCTTCCTTTTGAACAGATATTTTTATGTTGTTAGCTCAATATGAAAGTATTTTGCTAATGTTTTGGAAAATCTTCCTTAAAATGTTATGAGTCCATAATCCAAGTAACAGTATAAACACAGCAATTTTCTAGGTTTACAATGAGTTGTTAGACATAAAAGGTTGGTTTCCTTCAGTACCTTTTTTCTAGAACCACCACTTCATCCCCATTTATCATCATCTCCACTGGAGACTAGGTACTTGAGCGACAGTCAATGCGAGGGAAGAATGAAGAAGCTGCTCTTTAAAGCATTGAGGCTGAGTGGGTTAGATAATTTTGAGGTGAACAAGGCTGAGATAAATAGTGTATGTACATCAGTGGCAACTGAAAGGAGATTATTAATTTAAAACAAAGCTTCTGAAATGTCCTCAATGTGGTGGTGGGTTTCTAACTTTGCTTATCTAATGTTACAATACTGTAAATGCTGTACTGCTGTCAGCTTGAATACTACAGAAATGTGTTGTTATAGCTGATGGATTAATACTTTGTTGTCTACCTGCACTTTTAGGCTCAGAAAAATGAGAGAGAATCTATCAGGCAGAAATTGGCACTTGGAAGTTTCTTTGATGATGGCCCAGGAATTTATACCAGCTGTAGCAAAAGTGGCAAGCCAAGCCTTTCTTCTCGGTAAGTAAAATGGCATAGTGAACATTCCAAATGTTTATGGATTTCATGTGGCATAGCATCAGAGTGAAATTAAAGGGGAATATGTGGGGATGGGGGAGGTAAAAACTAATGAGAGGCTTTGGGTAGTGTATTATATCTTTAGTATGAAGTCCTATGGGAAACTCATTAGAATATTGAGGGAGGCCCTGATGTTTGTAGGGTCCATTTTCTCTTCTGGTTGCCTCCCTAGATTTTTAGTGGCAACAATACCTTTAAATGGCCCTCATTTTAGATCCATGGTTTCCTAGGTTCCACACAAATTTGGTATGTCATGTCAGTTTGTTGTGAATAATTTCCAAAAAAAGAACAATCTTGGGACTGAGGTTATAGAACATTGGCTGGAGATGGAGTAGGTGACCTATTCTGTAATTTACCATCTTTAATTTCTAGAATTCTATAACAAATGCCTCTCTCTTGCCTGTTGTGCTGACAGAGATATTACAGTTACAAAGGGCTTTACACAGAGCTGAATTCTTCCACCATAAAGTGTTCGGCTATATGACAACGGGGAAGAGAACTTGCAACTCATTCCTGCAAGATCCCTGAACACCTTCAAATCTCCCTGACTCCAGTGAGATTGGGTACACTCAGCACCTTGCAGGATCAAGTTGCTGATTAGCTATGAAAACATAACAGAATAGAGGTAGAATGACCTGTTACTTGTCATGCAGGCAAACAATATTCTGGTTTTAATTCAAAAGCTGAGCTATCTTTTTGTTGTTCTTATTGTTGCTGCTGCTGTTACTGAACATACCCAAAATAAAATCATCGACACAAGCAAATGTCGCAGTTAGCCCCATTAATAGCATGGCTCTGGACAATGGGAATGTTGCAGCTCTTCCCTCTTCTCTTCCCCCCCACTCCCCATTCCCTCCCAGCTAAATGTGAATAACACTATCTCAGGTGTGCAAGAAGTTGGCAATAGAGGTAGTATTATTACAGCATAGATCCATCTAGGTATGTGCATTCTCAAAAACAGAACCTGATTTGTCTTGGTTTGTGCATGTCATTAGAAAACTGGACAGTGAAAGAAATATATTGCATTGGTTAATCTGTTTGGATGTACTGTTGTATATTTTGTATGTGAGAGTTAAATGTAAGGAAAACACATTAATGCTTCCAGATCTGGGATTGAAGTAGGCATGATCCAATAGAGGAAGCCAGGGAATTTGGTCAGGACTTGCAAAAAGATAAGGTTGCAAAAATTAGTAGTCCTTTTTTTTTTTTTTTAACTAAACTATGCATTTGATGCATAAGAGCTTAGTTACAAATTACTCCCACATAAAGGTAATCTTCATGGCCATATACATCCCTCCAGTATGTAAAATAATGATACATCCATACTAACTCATAAAATATCAGGGTTGGAAGGGACCTCAGGAGGTCATCTAGTCCAACCCCCAGACAGATTTTTGCCCCACATCCCTAAATAGCTCCCTTAAGGATTGAACTCACAACCCTGGGTTGAGCAGGCCAATGCTCAAACCACTGAGCTATCCCTCCTGACATCTTGTGAATAGCTTAGTTTTCTGGTTTTTCTTAGTAAATTATTCAAAACACCCATTAAGAATATTGTATAATATGTTTATACAGTATTTGTTTCCAATCAGAAAGCATACATTTAGGAACATTTTCAGCAGAAAATAAGAAATCTTCTCAGTTATATTTTCAGATTTTTCTAATATTTAAAGAAAGCAACAATATGAACCTTCCCTTGTCTTGTCTGTTGTAAAACTCTGTCCTAAAGTTAATAAGATGCATTTTTTGCTCCTCATCACCTGTGCCCCAACCATGAAAGTTCCAGAAGGCTCATTATTCTCTCTCCTTTGAACATCTTATAAGGTCATTCAGAGATCATGAAATGTCACATACTCATGTGCCACCCATATGTGGATGAAAATCAACTCTTGTTCTGCCAACTTAACTACTGGGCGGCTTTTTCTGTCATCAAGATGTCCAATGCCTGGATAAAATGACCAGATTTGGTGGTCAGTCCAAGAAAGAGCATTGTGATAGTAGGAAAGAGAAATACATCCAGGAAATTGCCAATATGCTAATCTCAACAGCTGTCCAGGGTGTCATCAATTTGATGTGCAGCCTTGAAATCATGCTGAAGTCACTACTCCTGAAGATGATGGTAGCATCTTCTGTTAGCTAGGACACTGTATCCCCTTTCCTTTCTGGCTAGAATCAAGACATGGTGATACATGCTTTCATCTCCTCTAGGTTAAATTTATCCAGCTCATTCAACCTGGAACTAAACACAGCCACCACCAGAAGGCTTAAGCTGGTGCAACTCTCAGCAGTGCACTTCATGTGCAACAAAGGATGATATGGACACATGACATGCAAGCAACAGATGCATAGCAAATGTTCCATAAACTATCCGCTCCACTTTCACATAAGTATTCAAAGTCCTGTTCCTAATCTACAGAGTCCTTAATGAACTGGAATCTGGCTGCTACAGAGTTTCACCCTCCAAAACAATGATATTTCACAGAGCCATACAGTTGGAAAGACCCGGGTTTTAAATTTCAGGTGCTCTGGGCAGTGTGTTTTCACTATGGATGTCCATGATAGAGGAGCTCAGATGACCGCTTTTTGATTATCCAATGATGCCCCTTTCGTCTTCTCCAATGTATGGCTTGATGCAGCCTTCCATGTGCGTGGAACAGCCAGCTGTGACCCCAGGGTGCACCCAGACTTCATCAAACTGCTCCTAAAGATCCACCAATGTAAAAAAGTAATATTAACTGGAAGTATAAAAGGATCTTTTAAAGAAAGCCTTTCTTCACAAGGCACCTGTAATTTTTTTTTAAATAATTTTAAATCCAAAGGGAGCAGAGAGAGAATCCCATGGGCCAAATTCTCCAGAGAAATGCAGCTGATTTCATCATGCCCCCAGTGTAAACTAGCTCCAGTGCTGGTATAATTGGCCCTGGAGGGATATCTGCAATGTAAGGGTATTTACCCAGCAGTGCAGAGCCAATATAGGAGCTCATATGCCACTCTCATTTCACGCTCCCCCAGTTACACACACATCGGGGGAGAGGGCATAGGCAGAGCAGAGAGAGAGAGGCAAATATGCCTCTGCATTGTTTTGGCATCCTAGATCTGTTTACAGCTGGCATAAGTTAGAGCAACCATCTGTCTGTTCTGCCTTAGTTAAGGGGAATCATCTCTGAAAAGATGTATAGAGTGGAAAGATAAGCTTTAAGCCACCTTTGGCTTGCACTATGTGTGGAAATCTACCATATCTGTGGATCTGGCTCTATCTGTTCTCATACTTCACTATCATGTTGTTTGATGTTATACCAAAATGACAGTCCTATTATACAAACCTACAATAGGTTTCAAAATAGTCCAGAGATGTGTGTTTACCCAGATAGTGGTGAACCAGTTGTTCTCCCCATAACAGCTAACCTCGTTTGGGACGTTTCTGAATGGACTCTCATGTTAAGTGTAGAGAAGTACATGTTTCCAGGGTGTGGCAAGAGACAAAATCTTAAAGATGCACAAAAGCAGGAGAGAATTAACCCTTATTTGAGAGAGGCTACAATTATAAAATCAAGCTTAACTTCAAATAAATTGAAAAGAAAAGCAATTTGACTTTGTTTAGTAACTACTTTCCTTTAAAGCAAAGCCAGTAACCCCTATCTTCTAATTATACAGCAGGTCTAATTAACAGTGTGCAAGCAGAATTTGACAGATGTACCAAGTGAAATTACCAGATGTACTAAATGCTTTTGAATTTTGTTAATATTTATACACCGGTCAGAACTTTAAAACACATTGGTTGTTATTATAGGGGGTGGAGGAATCTTCATAGGAGTGCGTTTGTATTGAAAAAGGATATGTTCTGTAGAAAACAAAAAGATAATAAAAGCCCTTTACTATATAGTGAATATAGCACGTGTCCAGCTCTTGTATTCTCTTCCCCCCCCCCTTTATTCAATCAACATTTGTGTGCAAGGTGCATTGTTTGCATATATGGAAAACCGATTTGGAAAGAGAAATAGGATTTTCCAGTGAGCAGTTATATAATAAGACTCCCACCATTCTTTTTGTGATTCATGTATCTCAAACTCTGTAGTTTCAGAATGTTTTTACAGAACTTATGAATCCCTACAAAAAAATATTCCGAGCTGGCAACATGGAATACATATTCTTTCCTCTTTAGGTTACCAGTTTGAATCCAGCTAAGGTTGTTAGTGACCAGAAGATGATTTTATTTCTTTTTAATGGCCTTTGTCAAATGAGTTAGTTCCTATTGAACAGCTGTCCATATGGCAAACACTACCACTTACAATTAGCACCAACTGGCAGTCTTCCTTGCAGTCTCAGCAGACAGACCAAATATTGAATGGATATGGAGACTGACTTTTACCTCTTGAGATGGTCCCTCTGCATCAGGATTTAGACATATTGACAGAGTCATACGGGGAAGTTTGTACCACTGCTGCTCACACTGTACCTGTTCTAAGAATGAATACAGGAGTGAATTGCTTGGGCTGTTAATCTGGCATCTTTCAAGAGTGTGCAATTCTCAAAGAAAACTTCAAAACAAAAAATGCAGATGATGAAAGTTGTCTGTTAGCAGCAAACGAACAAAAAAAACCTTCCTGTGCCTAGAAATTCTGCACATGCTCGTGTTACAGTGGCCGTGCTGTTCCACTCACTCGCTACAGTGTCTTAAACTAAGGCCATGGTCCTACAAACACTTACATGCATGATTAACTTTATGATTGTAAGTATTCATGTTGCTGTCTGTCATGGTAGTAAAGCCACATGCATGTGTAGATGTTTCAGGATTAGGGTCTAAGACTGCAAGTTCTTGGGGCAGGGACTGTCTTCTCTTTCTCCCTCTATCTCTATAGCACCTAGATCACTGGGACTGCAGTCTGGCTGGGGCCTCTAGGCACTACTGTAGTACAAATAATGCATAATAATAGTGTGGTGGA